TTTTTTTCACAGTTGTTATTTATTGTTTAGAGTTCGTTCCATTAAAATGCATCGCATTGTCGGATATCAAGAGTTATATAATTTATTCTGGGTTATGCCAGTTTGCTTCTTTGTTTAATTTCTGAGTTATTGTTATTTACTAGTTACTACCCAGATAACAAAAGGACGTTGCTGCAGCATTTCTGCAACCTTTACATAGATGTTGCAATCAAGTTTATATGGAAGCCCTACAATGTCAACGTTACATAGTCACCAACTATAAACAAAAATTGATCACATTCTGTAATGTTTCTTCGAGTTTCATTAACATGGATAATAATGTGCAACTGTAAAAATCTGGTAAAATCCATGAAACTGTTAATATATAGCAAGAGTGATATGCAGTCTACTATAATCTCTGTCCTCTCTCTCTCTTTATGTATGTATATATATACATGTTTCATTAAAAACGACAGACAAGGTACTACGGTCAAGCTTTTTATTTAATTTTTCTTGTGTTCTGACAAGAGCTTTCTTTTCTGGACAAAAGGTGTGTAAGAACTGTCCGAATGTTTTATATTTCCGAGCGCTTTCGGCTATACCTTTAGCCATTATCAAGGATGATTCGATTTTCAGCTTAATTGAATTTGTGCGTTCTGTGTATGTATTAGTGTGTGGTAGGGATGTTTTTAATTTCCTAATGCGGTTAGCACATTGTAGCTTTGTTCATAGTTAATATTAAGAGTTGGCTTTTTCTATTTTATTATTAAAGCTTCCATTATTTTTAGTCTTTTTTGCAGGTGGATGCACTTAATATATTTGTGTTTTCTACTAGTATGTTCCTAATAGAATCGGGTACATCTGTGTGTGTGCTTAAATGGGTTCTAATGGAGCTGTGATCAGATAGGTGTAACGTAAGACGTCTGGATAAGCATGTGGTTGTGTAGCCGATGTAATTATTTATGAGTCCGGTTTGGTGAGGAACGCAGTTCCTTAAAGGGCATTTGAACTCATAGATAATGTTCGTTCTTTGTAATATTGACTTAGTTGATGTGTTGTTATTTTTGAGGATAAGGTTGGCTGTCTTAAATTTTTTATAATAGATAATAAATTTGATTTTTTTATTCGGATCAATATGAATAGTATATTTCTTTATAATATGCCTTAGAGAAGATTCGTCTTGTTTGTAATTAATATGCATTTGGTTTTTGTAATAAATGTGTATGTGATTTTTGGCTGTGTGTTCGCTATCGCTATTACTTGCATTGGGGAGGAATAGCCTAATTTTGTGGTCTATAAGGTAGTTAGGGAAGCCGTTGTTGATTAGTGTTTGTTTAACGTTATTATAAAGAAATATACTACTGCAATTGATCCGAATAAAAAAATCAAATTTATTATCTATTATAAAAAATGTAACTGTATTGTCGACATGGAAAAGAAAAAAAAATTCGTAGTATAGTATTTTTACCTTGAAAAAGTCTGAAGAAACGCGTCGGCAAAATCTAAGATTTTTTTCCAATTGAAAATAAAATGAGCTCTCATAAAATCTCTTCAATTTCTTTATCTATGTCCTTTATCCCCTCCTCTTACACAATCATAAATTTACATCTTTCTTTCCCTCACTCTCTCAATATGAGATTAGTATATTTAAAGTAAGTCTATTCTTAAGTTTTAAACCTGGAGTGATTTTCCCCATTTACATTCGGTTTACAGGTCTGAAGAATTGAGGCTATTTTTATAAACCTCAATGAAATAAATATCACCTAATAGTATATTTAGTGCTTGTTTTTCATTAGATATATATCGAGTTCTTTCAGTCACTCTTTGTTTATCTATAAATAAATATGCTTAAATTCATCTTCATCCCTGCCGTGCGCCAACGGCTTTGTGATAGAATCTCCGACTGACGCCAATTCAGTTAGGTTTCGATCCTAGCTAGAGGCAACCGGACTTCTAGCCACACTGATGAGCTGTGATACAGCGAAAGAGTCTGTCTGTGGATGAAAATATATATGCTCCTGAAAAATTTATTTCGGTTGAGCTCTCTGGGGAGGAAGTGTGGGTTTGTAAACAGTGACTATTACGGCTAATAATGCAAGACTCTTCGGTAAATCGAATCGAGTTCTCTCAGTCACTGTTTGTTTATCTATAAATAAATACGCTTGAATTCACCTTCATCCCTGCCGTTCGCCAACGGCTTAGTGGTAAGATCCCCGACTGACGCCAATTCAGTTAGGTCTCGATCTTAGCTAGAGGCAACCGGGCGTCTAGCCACAAGGATGAGCTGTGATACAGCGAAACAGTCTGCCTGTGGATGACATATATATATATATATATATATATATATATATATATATATATATATGAATTATTCACACAAAATTAATGCAAAGGTTAATGGTTTAAATGGCGAGACATCCATCATCGCAAACAATTCAAATAGTACACAAAAACCTGCAGATCCGTTATGAATGAATTGATCCTTGTTTATATAAATTTCTGCCGTATTAGTTGTTATTTTACTACAAGCTTTCGTCTGTTCCTACAGACATCTTCAGGTATATAATAGATGTTGTTCTTGTTTTTCTTTCTCTTAGTAATAAGAGGACATCGAAAAATATATGTGTTATTGTATCCGAAATGCTATTGAAAATGAGTTATTGGTTTTTGAACGCGCCAAAGCAACGCTGAGTTTGATTTTAAATTTTTTAAAGTGTTTGCGTTTATACCAAATATGGTGATGAACAAATTTTTACTGGTAAATTTTACTGTCAAAGTGGCATGAACTATATTGTTCAATAATTACAGTAATGTCGCACTTATTATCTAAAAGTCGCACATGGATCAGTTATTTAAATTACAATAAACGTGCAATCAATTTACAAATACATGAATTATTCACACAAAACTAATGCAAAGGTTAATGGTTTAAATAATAATAGGAGATGCAGTAACGTGAGTATTTGTTTTACTAAACTTTTTTTTTTACATATTCGTAGGCTCCGGCCTTCTTCAGGTGGTTTGAATGTCAAACTAAACCCTTTATTTCGCTCACTGGGGTAGACTGTTTAATGGATGTCAGTTGTCAGGTATCTCCTGCTAATTACCCTCTCCAAGTTCTCCATTGGCTTAGCCGGGTATTGAACTCACACTCTTGGGCTCCTGTCACTAGATCTAACCAACGCCTCTATCCACTGTGCCATCCATTCAACCACCTGAAGAATGGCCGGAGCGTACAACGGCTGAAACGTTGTAATAAATATAGCGACAAAGATGAGGAGAATAGTCCGAATAATGTAAATAGTGTACATAATACCTCGTCTCAGAAATATAGACAGATACTGAAGAAGGCCGGAGCATACAACAGCCGAAACGTTGTAATAAATATGGCGACAAAGATCAGAACAATAGTCCGAATAATGTAAATAGTGTAACCGTCTTTCGTACATTTGTTTTGTTAACTTTCTCTACTCATTTGACTTTTACACCTCAGTTATATCTAGTTATATTGATTCTCAGGGATTTTCTTTGTTGAATATCGTTTTCCATGGCTTTTTTTTTAATTATGCATTACAACTATTCTGCAAGTAATGGGATTTCATTCTATTAATCTGTTATCTTTGAAACCTTTATTTGGCAAGGTGGGCAATAGAAAGGGTATTTGTCTGGCATGAATATAGTTTTTAGCTAAAAGCGTCTTACTTGGAATATGTCACATATTCCAAGTAAGAACTTAGAATAATTATCTGCATTTGTCTTGGCAACATCACCAAACTTTGAAGGGGGCTTAGGATTTTTTCTGCTTGCAATAGTTCCTAAAATAAATTGCCTCTATTTTCTTATTCTTTTCATGGTGGCTATTTTCATAAAGAATCCAACCTCAAGCTAAGCCATTATGTCCGTTTAATGTTGCCCTATATTCATCATGACACCTGGCCGTGTGGTTAGAACGTTTGCTTTCTGACTATGAGACCCGAGTTGGAATTTGTCAGGAAGATGTCTGGAGGAGGCGATCCTAACGTGCGGCACTTTTGGAAAAACATGCCTGAAAACCCTACCCAAGTCTTGTGAGTGGAAATGGGTAGACAGTGACCGACGGTTTGAGCGTGATTGGCATGTTCAGGCCGTTGATAACACGCTCTCTCCCAGAAACTGTAACAAAGGGCCGCTCAGTATAAACCACAGGTAAACAAACAGTGAGCAAGCATATATGTTCCTGAGCAGGCGTCTGCAACGGGGATCAGCGCCGTTTACATATTCAGCATTAAAAATTGCTGTTGAGAAATCAGTTTTCATGTACTTCTAGCAACTTTTTTGTTTTTATGTTGCTTATTTAAAAGTCGCACTTTTCATTTTTTGTAGAGAATCATCCATAATTTTAAAATATTTTTTTCATATTTACTATAGCGTTACAAATGAAAATATATTTAAATTTTATTTTTCTACTTCAATTATATGTATGTAAATATGTATAATGGAGTAATGGGTGGCGGCTCAGATTGAGGAATCAGAGAGCCGAGTTCGAATTCCGGTCGGAATTTACGCGCTAATACCCTTGGCAAAGGTGTGAATCCTCTTCTTGAGCAAATAGCAGGACAGACTGGGTTCTATAACCTTCTATAACCTTGGATGGCAGCCGGCCTAGGAGAAGGAAAAACTCTAAATTCAAAACCGTCCTGGAGAGGTTTGCCGAAGAAACACCACATCTACTGTGGCTGAAGTACATATAGTACTCCTACAAGGGATAAAAAATATGTATATATGCATGTATATGTGTATATATGTGTGCGTGTGTTTACGTTTCAACAAAGCGTCATATACATACTCATATATATGAATACGTACGCATAAATGTTCGTGTAATCAAATCATATCTAAGTAAATATGTATGTGTTTATGTGTATATGCGTGTTTACAATACAGTAAACAATATCCTTGATCCATTGTCCTTAGCATGGATCAGTGAAATCTATCGTCGGGAAATTCATTTTTCTATATTCAAAAAAAAAAAAAAAAAAAAATCAACCAGATTTGGCGGCGTTTCTCCCCAGAGAATCTTTTCGGCTTTCGTCACTCCGGTGGGGGAGGAAGAAGGATGTTGAAGAAAAATGGTTGTTACATTTAGAAAGGGGGGAAAAAAAGAAAGAAAGAAAGAAAGAAAAGAAAGATAAATATAAGTAGATTCTGTCAGGCTTCATTTTCAGTTGACGACATTCATGCACGTACGTACGCACATACGTGCGTGCACACAGATACACTCATAAATACACAAACACAGAAACACACACGCTCATGTACACACTCATGTACACACACATAAACCCAGTTTATAATTAATGTATAAAAATTGTTTTCTACACATTTTTCCAATTTTGTAAATTCATCTTATTTGAGATATAATTTGTTTTCATTAACCAGAATATAAAGTAGGCACACACACGCACGCGCTTGCGCGCGCGCACACGCGCACACACACACACACACACACACAGAGTGAGTGAGAGAGAAAGAGAGAGAGAGAGAGTTTGCGATGGATAAATTGTCCTCTAAATTACGCCAAAACGAAAATAACTGTGACATCTCATTTTAACAGATATATTTACCAAAATTACACAAAAATATCTTGAAATACTAAAGAGTAAATTTATTCAATAAAATCCCAGTGGCTTCAACCACAGCCTCCAGAAGACTTCGGAATCTCCTGCAACTCTTCTTGATGATCTCCCTGTTAAAGTTGTTGAATGATGTCATAATCCTTGCCACCAGTTCATCTTTGGTGTTACAGAGAGTTTTGTTGATCTCACGATCAACTGCCCTCCACACATAATAATCAAGGGGCTTGAAGTCTGGGAAGTTAGGTGGCCAGATGTAAGGGGTCATGTAGTCGCAGAAATTGTCTACTTGTGTGGCATGGTGCAGAGTCCTGTTGCCATATATATTAGACAGCAAAAACTCCAAAATTACTTCATGTGGTTATAGCCTATTTTGGCCGGTGCAACCTTGCGCCAGTTTTCTTAAACCCTGGACTGGACTCGGAATCAGGGATTTAGAATTTAGTTTAGATAGCAGTCGGGGAAAACATACCGAGCCTACCCAAAATGACGCCAGATAAAAAGCCTGTGTTGGTGGTAAGGGGAGGGCGGAAGGTATCTGTCTAGAGACAAGTCCAGGTCAGCGTCAAAGAAGATTGCGCCAGCTGAAATAGGCTATACCCAAATGAGGTCATTTGGGATTTTTTTTTTATGTGTAATATATATGCTCTCTTATAATAAATACATTGACCTCTCTTTGTGGATCAGTTTTAATACTTGATATTTCTATATCCACCTGAATTATATACCAAAGCACTATGTTACCTGTACTATATATATATATATATATATATATATATATATATATATATATATATATATATAATATTTTTGCTTGTTTTTCCAATATATTGGGAGGAACAGTTTTATTTTATAAATGCCTGCTTCATAAATATTATTGCTATTAGTGTTTGAGGATCTGATTATATCCATAAAGGTTTTGGAAGTGTTTGTAATTATTTTAAGATTATTTAGATGGAATCGGTTGTCCTAGAAAGTGGACGTGATGGAGTTGGTCGATAATATTATGCATCTGTTTTCTTCATGTAATTTATTATAAAGGATGATGTCATTTTTGTTGCGTTTGTATATTTTGTATACCTTTCTTCTTCCGCTGTGAATGTAAGGATATGGCTATTGTAGGTTTTTGAATGTGTTTTCTATGTATGTTTCTAACTTTAGGTAAATATTAGAGGCTGAAGATTCTTAAAGCTCTCAGATAGATACCTATAATAATTCCAGATTTAATTTTAGGAGAGTGGTTTGAGTAGAAACTGATCAGGTCATTTTTGTTTGTAGCCTTTCTGTAAACGTCAAAATCGAGTCCGTTATTATTTCTTTTTAACATCATATCTAGGAAGGGTATAGTTGGTTTAAGGAAAGGTGTAGTTGATTTCATTTTTAAAAGTTTCTCTTCCCAGATATCATTTTACACAGAAATAATAACGAACTATAACGTTTACAGAAAGGGTACAAACAAAAAATTAGCTGATCAGTTTCTACTGAAACCACTTTTCTAAAACTAAATCTGGAATCATTATAGGTTTTTCTCTGAGAATATATATATATATATATATATATATATATATATATATATATATATAATATGTATAATAAAATATAGTTCTAAGGTAGGCTATATTTATGGGTTAAAATGCTCAATATCAGGGATAGAGCGTATGTAAATATTAAAATTGGTCCTTGAAGTCAACACCCAGAGGCGACAGTCTGTTTCATGCTAAACGAATTTGTCAGGCCATTCCCACCGTCATTAATTTATCATTCTTACAAAATGTGTCTCGTGGACTATACTAAAATAATTTCTCAATAACTCTAAAAGCTTTGTGCATAGGGCAGGCTAGAACTTGAAACCCCTCAATTTAAAATTTCTACAGTCCAATCACTGAGCTACACATTTGATGATGATGTTATCATGCAATAACCAAGCACGTTGACCGCCAGCAAGTCTTACTTTTACCTGTCTATGTAGAGAAGAAATAACTCGTAGGTCGGTTGCTTCTTAGGAATCGCCTTTTCTTCCCCAACGGTACAGAACATTAAAACTCTGGCTCTGTCGCACTTGTCTTCATGATCCAATTGGGAACGAGCATTAAAACTGAGCGGTCATTAAGGGGTCCCCAGCAATCCCCGCGAGACTCCCGTAACAAAATTAATTTTTACCTTGACAGTTTTAGGATAAACATTTATAAACGTAACTATTTTCTCTTTCTCTTTTTCATATGCACTTTCTCCGTTTGTTGCGCCTATGTTTTTGGTTCACCTCCTCTCTTCATCTTTTCTCTCACTCTGCTAATTCTTACTGTCCCTTTCTCTCTGTTACACACACACACACACACACACACACACACACACATACGTACACGCACACACTTACACGCGTACGAGCACGCAAACACGCGTGCACACATACACACACACACACGCTCACAAAGATACATAACAATATTCTTCTTTTGGATTCTTGGCTTTTTTCTTCTCTTCTCTTGTGTAACATTTCTAAACGTTACGGTTCACAATCCTGCGTCCATGTTGACTAGGAGTAAGGAGATGGCGTCATTGTGGCCCACAGAACATGCTCTTCGTTCTAGTCACAGGGGACTCTGTCAACGACATCAAGCAATCAAAACCAAAGGAATGAGAACGGAAAAACTCAACCAGGAGACGCCTAGACTTTCAATACAACGAAACTTAGGTAATCGGAAATAAGAAGGTATCAAAGAAAGAGGCCATTTGTAGAGGTACGAAATGTGTTCAAAATAAAGCCATAAACATGTCTGTAAAACATAGGACTGTTTAATTATTGAACCACTGGGACATTAAGTCAAATAGCTCAGTACAGCCAAGAACGATGCAGCCAGAGTCGTTTGGTTCTCGTTTCTGTTGCAGCAAATTAAAAGAAAAAAGCAAAAGAAAAATTGGTGTTTGGAGTTGTTCTATATACAGAGGCGACGTTTAGTACAGACTTAAATGGAGAGATTGCAGTGCAGAAAAATGTTGAATGTGCAATTGTGAATGGAACAGTGAATTAATGAACAAAATAAAAATTAAAGCATGCATAAATGAGAAATAAAAAAAAAATCATGCTGCAAACAAGTAAAAAAAGATAAAAAAGTAAACTAGAGTGGAGTAATGTATAGCGGCTCGGATTGAGGAAAAAGTTAACTGGAATCCATTACAAACGACAGAATCCTCTTCTTCTCCCTCCAGGGGTAAATTAGGAATCGGTTTCTATCGCCTTGGAGTTCAGGAAGAAATTTACTGCAGGAAAAAAAATCCATATCATTCAAAAAGATACATGATTACGTGCACATAACGAATATTCCTTGCGCAAAAGCTATGAATCCTCTTCTTCTCCCTCCAGGGCAACTTACTGGTCTACCACAGGAATAAAAATACTGCCTCATCTGTCATGTATCAAAAGATATTCATGATCGCTTGGGAAAGGTAAGAAAGGTATAATGGATAACGGCTTGGATTAAGGAATTGAGAGCTGAGTTCGAATTCCACTCGAATCCATTACATCACGCTGGGGAAAGGTAAATAGCACATAACTGAAATTGATATTCACTACGGGAAAAATTGCCTCGTCAGTCAAATATCTCTTGGGAAATTGATATTCACTTAACGCGCAAATACTCTTGGGAAAGGTATGAGTCCACTTCTCCCCCCCAGCTATGGGTGAATAGCAGGACAGACCGGATTTATAGCCTTGGATGGCAACTGGTCTACCACAGAAAGAAATGGCAACCTACTGCGGGAAAAAATCTGCCTCGTTATTCATGTATCGAAAACGTGTATCACTCATGGCACATAACTGACTAATAAGAAAAAGATAATCATGAAAGAAAGAAAAAAGATATAATCAAAAATATGAACAGCCACATAAATTAACATGGCGAAAATAAAGTCACCATACAGTAAAGGACATTGTCTATTTTAATTTTGGGGCAGTATGGACTTGCTAGAGGCTAATAAATATTCTGATAAGACTTGAAAAGATTTCAGCCATTTCTGAGAATCATTGCACATGGTTGGCTTATCACTTGGCTTTGATATTGGCAACGGTAATCAAATGAACATTCCAATGTCCGTAGAACAGGTTCAGAACCAACGCATTGTAATGACAGATATAGCAGGCTGCACGGCATCTACAGTACGTATAAGATGTCTCTGGTCTACTTACGCCACAACGCCATTGTACATGTCTCCAGTGAAAGTCACAAGAGTGTCACTTGGATGATCGAATAGCGCTCTGTAATATTCAATGACCAGAACATGTTTTGCCTTCATGCGATTGATGGCCATTTGCGTATGTTACATTGACATGGGAAGTGACATCTTTTAGTATATATTCGCCCACGGCACACAGACCCAAACCCTTCAAATTTTCTGTCTGACTATAAAAGGTTGTATACCCAGAAAATTGCTCACCCCGTCCTGCTGCCCTTCCTGCAACAAGAAGGTGATGCATTCCCCCTAAAGTATAATGCACGTCGCCAACGTGCTACACGTGTTATTGCTTTGCAAAATGATTGACAACTTCATTGGTCAGAACGATCATCAGAGTTGTCT